GGGCACCTGCCTTGGCACCTCTGCCCTGATCATCCTCTGCTTTAGCCAAGCAGCAGCCGCCTCTGCCACCTCAGCACACAGCCAGAGAGAGAGAGAGAGCGAGGAGAGAGCGCGCAGGAGGCCGGGCTGGATGCAAGACGTGCTGAGAAGGAGCCAGTGGTATCCAGAGCATTCCACCTGGGCAGCTGCCAAGGCGAGGCTGCCAGGCCCCAGGCTGTCTGCAGAGCTGCAGCTGTGATGCAAAGCCAGCCAGGAATTGGGGGGGGGAGGGAGGGAGGGAGGGAGAGGGGGTGGCGGAGGAGGAGGAGGTCAAGGGGCCACAGTCATGGGGACAAGGAGGGAACTTTTGCCCTGGTGCGCTGGGAGAAACTGCCAGCAGGAAGGATTGGTCTGCATAAAGGGATGGCTACAGAAACAGGAGGAGGAAGAAGAGGATGGGGAAGGGGAGAGGAAGAGGGTCCCGGGAGCCCAGCCGCCCTGGGAATATCTCTCCAGGGATCCCTGCGGAAGCACAGGGCATCCATTTGTGCCAGAGCTCAAAGAGAGGACCCAGGGCATATTCCAACAAGGGTGGGTGGCGTTGCCAAGGGCAGCAGATGCCCTCTGCTGGAGGGTTTGGACCCCCATGAAAGGGCACCAGCTTCCTCCTTTTTCACTGTCTTCCCCAAGGGCACCCTTTGGCTTTCCTTCCCCGTCAGGAGCCAAGGGCCACCTCGGGTAAAAGACACAGCTCTGATCTGCTTCCTGCAGGAAGAGCAGAGGCAAATCTAGCGCTGGGTGAGTGGTGGAGGCTCAGAGCAGAGCGTCCTGGGTTCAAATCTCCACTTGGTCACCAAGCGCAAAGGTTTGGCCAGTCACCAACTCTCAGCCTGAGCTTCCTCACAGAGCTGTTGTGAGGATAAAATGGAGCGGAGGGGGAAGAGACTCTCTATGCTGCCTTTTCTGCTCCTTGGGGAAACAGCAAACACCCCCAAGACGAAGACACTTGGGGGCTCATCCCAGGAAGCCCAGGCTGAGAGGCTCAGCACAGGCAAAAAGGAAGGAGGGCTTTTTCACGCAGCACAGAGTGAAACGGTGGAACTCTCTCCCACAGGAGGCAGCTAAGGCCCCCAACTTGGGCGGCTTTGAAAGAGGACTGGGCAGATTCCTGGCGGGAAAGGGCTACTGAGGGCTACCAGCCAGGATGGCTGGACTCTGGCTCCACAGTCGGTTGACCGCTATGAGAATCACAGACTTGTAGCGTTGCAAGGGACCCTCCAGGGTCATCTAGTCCAACCCCCTGCAATGCAGGAATCTTTCACCCCACCTGGGGCTCAAACCCAGGATCCCAAGACTGAAGAGGCACATGCTCAACTGCCTGAGCTCTCCAGGTGGGTCCCCTTTGGCTGCAGCCAAGTTCTCCTTAGGCCTTGGTGGCTGAGCAAGGTCTTCTCCCTCCCAGGGCATCTGCCAGCCTAGAGAGGGCAACGCATTTCTCCGGACGGGGAAAGACTGCAGGGACTGCGATCCAAATCTGCCCACTCGCCTGGCCAGGCGCCTGTGTGCGCCAAGGTCTTTAGCAATTGGACGTGCAAGTCCTGCCTCTACTCTGCAAGCTACTGTTTCTACATTTGAAATAAATTTTAAAAATTGCCCAGTAGCACCTTAGAGACCAACTGGGTATAAGCTTTCATGTGCATGCACACTTCTTCAGATACACAGTTTCTACATTTGAAAGTCTTTCTACGCCATGAGGACTACAAGCATGCTCTTTAAAATTTAATACACACGCCCAGAGAATTCTAATGCTCAAAAAGACCCAGTTCCACAGCTTGGGAAGTCCCTGTCCACGAAATCCGCCTCTTGCACAGAAATGCCAGCCCTTTGGCACAAATGCAAACAGGACACATCGCCTACTGGACGCAGATGGTGCTCTATGGCCACCTCACCCACACCCACCCACTGGGGGAGCCCCCCAGGAGAGCTCAGCTCCAGTTTCCCTGCAGTTGGAAAGGGACCCCATCTGGGTAGGTCCTGCCCATAACGCAGGACAGCCCGTTGGTGCAGCCATGTTTGGAGGAGGGAGCACGGGGGGCCAGGAAGAGCCACAGGAAGGGCCCAGAGACGACCTCTGAGGCCAAAGCCACTGGGAGCAGCTCTTGCGTTTAGGGAGGGAAAAGTCGGTCGCAAGGTGATCGAGGCATCTAGGAGTATGAGCTCTGGCTGAGAAGAGAACCCAGAAGGCAAGGATTTCTCAGCCTCCAGGTCCTATAAGGCTGGGGCCTGGGATCGCTGGGGAAATGGATCTGTGCCCTGGCTTCACTCGTTTCCAGGCCTGGCTGCAGTGGGATGCGGTGACTGCCGCTGGCTTTAAACAGCGCCTCTTCCTCTTTCAAAACGTTCGCAAGGGAGGATATTTATTTTATTTAAGAAAATGTATATACCGCTTGATTGTTAAAAAAATAAAAAAATTCAAAGGAGTGTACAAAAAGAACGGAACAATAAGATAATCAGGGAAAAAACAATTAGAACATTCAGAACACTAAAACCAGGAATAAACTAAAAACACATCCACATTGGGGGGGGAGATTGTCTAAACAAAACTGTTTTCAGCGTTTTTACAAATTTAACTCATTTATTATATTGCCCTGGGTGGCAAGCTGAAGCTAAATGGACCACTCCAGCCCCAATAATGGCCAGCTGGGACCCTCCTCCTCCTCCTCTTCTTCCTCCCATCTCCCCTCTGGCCAACCCAGCGCATGCCAGCGCACGGCCGCCTTCTGCACATGCCCACCTCCTGGCTCCGCTCTGCCTTGTGGCCGACTCTGGCCAGTTTTGGCCTTCAGCAAGGATGGGACTGGCAAGCGGGGGGCCAGATCTTTGGGGCAGGGGGCTTCTCTCGCAGGGCTGAGGGGCCGAAAGACCAGCAGCAGGCAGGCAGCATAGACGAGTGGGCAGAGCCAGTTCAGGGGAAGGTGGGCTGAATGGAAACAGTGTGGAGTTCAAAGTTCAAAGCAAAATCTGAGGTTTCCGGAGGGGAATCCTAATATTCACATCCCAAGAGCCAGACTCCACAAGCAACAAACTGACAGCGATGATGGAGAGGAAGTGGGAGGGGGTCCCTTTTGGGGACGGGAGTATGAAACTCTTGGCCTGGATCTCAGAGAGATGAAGACAAGGAGGCCAGAAGGAAAATAGACCCAAGTATTAGGCCAGGCAAAGAGAGCCCCCTCTGGAGCATCACTTTCCGCAGCTGCTCCTCAGGTGAAGGAGGGCAGAGGAGAGGTACCTGCGAACAGGAGAAGTGCCCCCCCCATCCCAGTGGGGAGGTCAAGCAGGAGGGCAGATCCCCAGCTTGAGATAAGCCCTCTAGACACGGAGGGCACCTCTGAGGCCACAGCGCCCCCTGGCTGCCAACCTGGGCAGTGGCATCATTCTTAACCCAGGCTATTTGTCTGCCAGGCTGTGCCCAAAGGTTGTTGTTGGGGGGGGGCAGGGACTCCCAAGTGCCCTTTGCCATTTTCCATTTTTTTAAGTGTACCCGCCTTTTTAAAAAATCTATACAGAATTGCAGTTCCGTCAAGCAGGGCTTCAAAACCAAACGTGCACCGAGATCTTGCAAGGCCCAGGAAGACCCCTTTGCTGCTGAGCAAGGAAGGAAGCGTCTCCAAGACCAGGCAGGGAGGGGCATGATCCGGGGAGAAGGCCCCAACTCCTCTGTGCTCCTTACTGTCAGCAAGGTCAGAGCAGGGGCTTCCAGAGCCACTTCCGCGCACCGCCCCAGACAAATGCAGCCTCCGTGGCAAGCAATCGGAACAATGGCAGCGCATCAACCTCAGTCATGCAGGCTCTGACTGGCAGCAGCGGGCTCCCTGGGAAGGGTCATTTCCAAGCCTATCTGGGGGTGCCGGTGGGGAGGGAGCCAGAGACCTTCTGCATGCCAAGCAGCTGACCCGTCTTTGTTACGCTTCTGGAAAGCCCCTGTGATGTGGGGGGAGGCGCAGCGGCAGAGAAACATGGGGAGGGGGTTCCCAGGGCCCTGTCTCAAGTCCGCCCCAGATCCAGGCCTGTCTGACCTTGTGGTGGGAGTCCCACCGGTGAAGCTCCTCTTCCAGGGCCTCCTGCCCCAGAGCCCTGCGAGGCGGGACACAGGCCCAAACCCCCACCACAGCCGCCAGACTGCACCATCCCTTGACAAAAGAGGCTTGGAATCCGAGTTGGAAGGGCCCCCCAGAATCGCCTGATCCACCCCCCTGCAATGCAGGAATCTCCGCTACAGCCTGCCAGCTGGGGGCCTCATCCTGGCAGCTCAGAGGCGCTGGCTCCTGTCTAAACAAAGGGGTGCTGGCGGGGGACTACCTGTCCAAGGCATCCTCTGGCCCGCTAGTCCTGCCCCAGGTCTCTGCCGACGGAGGAGCGCGCTCTGCACATCCTCAGAGGCCCCCTGGTGGCTTTGCCATCCGGCTCTGCTCTCTTTCCGCAGGTCCTCGTTCCTTAACTCTGCCTCCTTTTAATATTTGACTGGAAGGGGGGGGTCGAAGGGCAGGTTCACGCGAGGCAGCTCTCCCCCCCCCCGCCCGCTTCCCTCCCTCCCTACCTGGGCTCGGTGCCTGTTCGCTCCGCGCAGGAAGGTGCCCCCGCCAGCTCGCTTGGCATTCCTCGCATATCTTCCTCCCACCCCCGCCGGATGGTGCAGAGACCCCCAGCGACGTTGGGGAGGGCGGAGGATGTAGGGTGGGGGAGAAGACAGAGGACGCCGCCGCCGCCCTGCAGCTCTCTCGGTTGCGGATCAAATACACCCCGGGGGGGGGGGTGGCCGAGAAGGACAATAGCGCCAAGGGAGAAGCAAGCGCTCCGCCGGGCGCGCATCTCTCCTCCGCCCCGTCCCTTTGCCAGCGCCGGGGACCCTCGTCGCCCCCTCTTCGGAAGAGTAACGGGGTGGTGGGGGCCCCTCAGCTGCCAAACCCTCCGCAGGGACCGGTTTCTGCCTCCCCTTCCCCACCCGCTCGCCGCTTTCTTACCTTGGCCGGGCCGGGGGCGTCTGGAGGCGGCTTTGTGCGCGCCCTCGGCGGCGGGCGCAGGTCGGGTTGGGGGTCCCCGGCCTGGTCTTGTCCGCGCCCGGCTCCCCTGCGCGGGATCTCACCGGCGGGAGCAGCGACCTCCTCCTCCTCCTCCTCCGGGAGGCGATCTGCCCGGCGTCTGCCTCGGCCACCCCCACCGGCACCGACGGGGCGGGCCGCGGCAGCGCCACATCTGCGCCTGGGGAGGCGGGGAAGGGGAGGGAGGCGGCGCCGGGGAGCGGGCGGGGGGCGAGGCGGAGGCTGCGGAGCGAGGGGGTCGCCTGCTTGCGCAGAGGGAGGGGGGAGGCCAGGCGCGCGGAGGGTGTTTCCCTTCCCGGCGCGCGTGATTTACGAGCGCGCGGCTGCGGAGAGGGACCCGCTTGGGGCGGCCTCCGGCAACGTCTCCATTGCGAAGGCTGGAGAGGAGGCGCCCCTCCCTCCCTCTCACCGCGCGGAGGGGGCGGAGAGGGACTGGGCGCATGCCCGCCCCCTCCCGGCTCCGCCCCCTTCCCCGCCGAGGGGGAGGGGGCAGAGCAGAGAGGGAGACGCAGTCCCTCCCCCCTCCCCAGGAATCCAGGCGCCCCCCACCACGCAATACAGGGCACGGGTGGAGCCACTTCTCTCTGCAGCCCGCCCCCTCCTCAAATCCCCGCTGGAGAGCGCAGGGATGTGCAGCTGCGCTTCTAGCTGGGGGGAGGGGCTCTCGCAGGACGCCTGGGTCCTCCGGGCCCGGAGGAAGAGCGGCTCGCAGCGCCGGAGGCGAGCAGGAGGGAAGAGAGGCTTCAAAGGCGCCGGCGGCCTGAGGAGCTTCCGAGATGGGATCGCGGCCGCAGTGGGATGCGCAAAACCAAGGCGGACCCTCGCCGGCCCCGTCGTGCGGCCGATTGCTAGGGAGGGAGAGGCAGCGCTGGCCCGTCTCCCCTCCCCGCCCTCCAATATTCCCACGATGGCTCCGCTGAGAAGCCTCCCGTGGCCAGAGGCACTCTACCTTGCTGACGGCCAGGTGCTGGGCGAAGGGGAAACCGGACGGAGCAGCTGGGTCAGAGAGAGGCGACTCTCGGGGCCCCGGAGGCGAGCCAGCCTTCCAGCTGCTTGCCCCCTGGCTTCTAGAAGCCGGGTGTCCCCTGCGCATAATCTCTGCCCCATAGATAGGGCCAGTGCTTGGGGGCGCCGGCGCAGCGGGGCTCTGCAGCCCCAGAGGCTGCCAGGGCGCACGGGGGCTTGAACCCTGGAAGACCCCCGCCGCCGCCTGCTTCTCTGTCTTCCAGGGAGGCTGTCAGGCTGGCGCTGCTCAGCCTCCCCGCCCCGCCCCCCGCCGGAGGGAGGGGGCACTGCGCGGCGCTGGCAGCAGCGGCAGCAGCCTCCTTGGCACATGTGGCCGGCCTTGCGGGGGCAGCAGCAGCTCCTTCCGGAGGCAGGATGCTGGGGAGCGGGGCCGGGGAAGGGAGCGCACGCCCCGCCCAGAGCGAGGAAGCGCAGGGACAGGAGCGGGTGGAGGGGGCGCATTCTTGAAATGTGACCAAGAGGAAACGCCCGGCCGGCCGCCCTCCCGGAGGCAAAAGCGGGGAGGGGAGCGGAGGAGGTCCCGTCCTTCCCAAGGCCTCTTGGCGGGGCGGGGGGGGGGGACTTAGTCTGATCTGCCGCGGAGCTTCCCCATGGCAACCCAAGGGCAATCGGTGCGGCGGAGGCAGCAGCTGCTGTTGCCCAGCGGCTTGTTTCTCCCCTTGGGGGGCTGAGCCAAGGACACCCCCTCCAAGACCAGCTGAGCAGCAGGCCTGGGACGGAGATTTATTTGGCAATCCAGAAAAATGTCCTCTTGGGGATCCTGAGCTGGTTAAGAAACGGAAGCAGAGGAGAGAAATAAAGGGGCAGTTTTGTGGGTGGAGAGATGTCACAAGGGGATCTGTTTGCGGACCTTGTAATGCTGACTACATTAATACGCCCCTCTTTTCTGGCCTCCTTGATTTATCCTCACAACAACCCTGTGAGGTAGTCTAGGCTGAGAGGCAGCGACTGGCCCCAGGGTCACCCAGGGAGCTTCATAGCTGAGCCAAGCATCTGAACCCGGGGGATAAGGAAAAAAATCTGGGGTGCGGATTTACTCCCCTGTCCCGCTCATTGGGGGGTCTCTCCCCGCGGGTCTCTCCAGTCAGCAAAAGGAGTCTTCAGCCAAGTTAAGGAAGCAAAACAGCAGTCAGTAGACCTGATCTCTCCTGGATCACAACCCAAGGCTTTAACTCCTGGGCCACGCTGCCTCTGTGCTTTTTGACTTGTTGGCAGATGAAATGGACTTCGGGGTGAGCAGTGAAGGGCCTAATTTTGCCGATGATACAAAATTGTTCAGGGTGGTGAAATCAAAAAGTGACCTCTCCAAACTGAGTGAATGGAGGTGAAATGGCAAATGCCAAGACAAAAATAACTAAATCGTAATTTCACATCTATGCTTCTGGAGTCTGAACTGAGAGTGATTAACCAGGAATGAGAGATTTTGGGGCCACAGCAGATGGCTTGATAAAGATTTTAACTCCTGCAATAAAAGGCAAATTCCATGCTAGGGATCATTAGGAAAGGAACTGAAAATAAAACCTCAGGAATCACCGTGCGGTTAAACAAACCTCTGGTGGGGCTGCAGTCGGAGCCCTGTGCACAGTTCTGGATGCGTCCCTTGAAAGGGATGCTGTAGAGTTGGAAAAGGCTCAAACAAAAGTGATCAACTCCCTGACAGGGAAGGTCCCAACATTTGGGGCTTTTTAGATAAAAGGCAAGTATGAAGGATGGCGGGGGGTGTAGCCAATTGTGCATGGACTGGAGAGCGATAAATTCTTCTCCCTCATAATACTAGAACTCTGAGCATTGGAAGATGCGCAGCAAACAAGAGGAAGTACTATTTTTACGCATAACTCTGGGATTCTGTTCCACAAACGGCCGTGATGGCCACCAACTGGGGTGGCCTGAAAAGAGGTCTAGCCAAACTCACAGGCAAGGGGGCTTTCAAAGTCTCCTAGCTGCCCTGCCCATCATGCCCCCTGAATGCCAAGTCGCTGGGAGTCACAGGGGTCCTGCTTTCAGGGTTCCCTTTGAGGCAGCTGCCGCTTTGCCACAATGAAAACAGCGCATGGGCCTAGAAGGGCCATTGGCCCACTCATCCTGCAGGACTATTCATTCAGCTAGGAGAGCAGGGTCAAAGCTTTTGAGAAAGGCACAAACGACCCAGGCAGGAAGGGGCAACGGCCAGCTACCCGAGTCCCTCTCTCGAGGATGTGCCAATGGTTGCTCTCGCCCAATTCTGGTCCTTGCTGTGGGGGCCCACCCCCTCTCCCCAGGAGACTGCCCATTTGGGGAGATCCAGGGCCAGGAATCTCTGGGTGGGCTTCTCCTTCAGGAATGGGAGCGGGCACATGAAGCAAAAAGCTCCCTGGGTCCTTTGGTGCCCCTGAGTGTCCGCCACCGCTCTCCACTTTGGGGAAAGCTGAAACAAAGGGCTCTTTCTCTTTGCTCTCCCAGTGATGACCCCCCCCACACACACATCCTTGCCATAGGGAGGCAGGAGGACCTTCTGGGGTTGCCTGGGCACCTTGCCCAAATCCAGGGTGGCTTGGCACCGTCTCAAGTGGGGAGGATGGCAGCATTGGCAGGGGAGGGGGCTTTCCTCATCACTGGGCAAAGCCCAGCTGATCTGTGTAGGATGGAGGAGGACCCCCCCCTCCCCAGCCACCTGTCTGTGGAGGAAGACGCCCAGAGCAGCAGCTGGCTCTGACCTCCAAGCTGCCACCTGGGCTGCCCCTAGTGGGTTGCAGGCTGGCCAAGGGCTGGAGGACACAGCCAGCTTGCTGACTCCCTGCCTTGTGTCGCTTGCCTGCCTTCACCATGGCATCTCCCACTGGGCAGCTGACCAGACCACCTTAGCCCCAGCCAGGTGGCTGCGCTGGGCTTTCCAGGCTTGAGCAGCATTTGTGCCACGGGGCCCACGCCAGGGCCTTGGCAGCGCCAGCCGGGTGGCCCCTGGGGCCTTCAGGTCCCTTGCCTGGCACCCGTCTCTTTGCTGCTAGGTACTGGGAAGCACTTTGGGCACAGGCCCATGCCACAGCGAAGTCAGATTCCCCTGGGAAATTTAAGTGGTGGGCAATGGCTAAGGTCATGCCAGCACAGTGCCATGCAACATGCCCAGCTGCCCCGTCAGCCGACTCCAAGCTCTGCTTTCTGCAAGGAGCTCATCTCTGCTACAGACTTCCCTGTGGGTTTTATACTAATTAAAAGTGGGGGAAGGGACAGGAGGCCAGGTGCTTGGCACCCACCCCCTGCCTGGCACAAGAGTGCCACCCCATCAAAATGCTATCAGTGCTATCTGCCAACGCACGGCAAGTGCATAACTAATAGAGCAAAGCGGTGGTGGTTGTATCCTGTACTTATACCCTGCCCTTTCATTAAAAGCAGCCACTTCCCTAAAGCCTTTCAGGACAAGGTCTTCACCTGCTGACAGAAGGACAAGAAGGAGGGAGCCAGTCTGGCTTCTTCAGGCAGGGAGTTCCAAAGTTGTCTAGGAGCAGCTGCCACCAAGAAAGCCGTCTCCTGCGTCCCCATCAAGCGTACCAGTGAGGGTGGAGCGACCAAGAGAAGGGCCTCCCCCAAAGAGCTTAAACCTCCAGCTTTCTACCCGCCTTGAGAGAATGGAAGATTTTGGAGGGCCCCCCCCCCACGCGTCACAAAAATGGCCGTTCAGGAATGGAGCCAGGCCAAAACAGAAGTGGAATTTAATATTGTCAGCAGGCAGCTTCAGGTACCTTTTTCTATTGACACAAATCTAGCAATTGCTAAGTGCTTTGCTGCAGCCTTTTCCCTTGTGGCAGGGAGTCCCACAACTCAGTTTCTCTCAAGCTAAGTGGCCTTTTCGGCAGAACTTGCGCATGCAGAAGCTCCAGGGGGGAAAGGCTAAGTTTATAGTTGCCCCTCCCATCTCTTCTCTTCCACCAGTTTTTTATGTTTCCTTATCTTCCATAATTTCTTCTCCTTTCACGCGTCATTCAGACTTTCTCTTCTCCCCCCCTGCAGTTGCCCCTGTTTCCCACCCCTCCTCCCTTGGCATCCACATCCTCTTCCTCCTCCGGCTGCTTCCCTCTCTTATTCTCCTTCCTTTCTTATTTAAAATGGTGAATCTCTCCTGTTGCCTCCAACACCTCCTCAGGCCTCAAAGGAAGGACACGCCACCCGCCACCCCTTCACCCGCCCCCCTCCATCCACACGTGGGAGTTCCTGGCTTGAATTCCATCTAAATGAACA